ACAACCTCTCGTCAATATGCGTTTTTCGCATTGCATTGCTGCAAAAAACGCATAAAAATAACATGCATGTTGGGAAGACGAATCCCAAATTTCAGCCTTCTAGCTTTCCAAGTTGCTGAGTGAAATGGGCGACAAAGTTCACTCGCCCACACACACTCACTTAAACACACACACACATACACGCACAAAATACACACACTGCAAATCTCTTGACAAAATGCATTTTTGCTCACTGTAACAGCGCAATAGAAAAGCGCATGAAGACGGAGAGATGCCAGGATGCGCTCCGTTACTCCTTTTTTAAATGGATTAGGGCAGTTCTTCCGATACTGCATTGAACAACGCCTCATAAAGCATTCATATCAGGATTTTAGCAACTTTGATGCTAAGCTCACAATTTGGTTGGAAGTAAAACTGAAAAACACTTACTTTCAACTGGTTTGTTTCCACTACGCCAACAAAGCTACTCGGCTTCCCACCACACTCATTAAAATCACTGCTCCTCAGCTCGAATTCCTTATCCCCGTCGCTTCCTTTGCTTTCCTTCACTTCTCGATTGCGTTTCGCTGAGCTACTCACAGGACTAAAAATCCGGATCGATTTCGCAAAATTCATGATAGCAATGAGGAAATATAATTACGAACAAATCTCTAAGCAAAACTGGAAATTCGAAATGCCCGAATTCAAAAGATCGAAAAAGAAATTACCTCTTCTCGTCGTCGACAATTTCGCCACGCCGTTTTCTTTCATACATAACCTTCTGGCGCACCGCTTTTTCAATCATCTGTTCCTCTTCTGCTGTCAAAATATTTTTTTCGGTATATTCCGAAACCACCATCGCAATCTCTGCTAAAACACCAATCGCATCAGAACTGCTTACTCGGCATATCGTTTATTGGAATAATTTTTTGAGGCCAAGGTAAAGCGTCTTTTTATGGCCATGTCAGCAACCAGACTTTGCGCGAGATGGGTGACGTGCAGGATATCAGCGCGACCATAGAACGGTAAAAATCCGATGAGGGATTACTGCTAGAGGAGGTTAGGGGTGGCATCCACGGAAAAATATAAATTCCCAGAAAAATGCACATATATCAATCAGAACTAACTGCAGCTACGCCAGGCGTGGTAGTCAAAGTTAGAAGTCAAAAGCATCCTCCCTTTCTCCTCCCCCCTCCCGGCCCTCTGGCTCAGAGAAACGAAGGCGCTAGGAAAGTGGCTCAAGCACAAGCAAATGCCAAAAGCAATATCTCGCAGACAGGGCCCCCGCAGCTCCCGGGAAAAATGTTGGTGCCAATTTATTACTGTAATCAATGAACGAATCATGAATGAACTAGCTGTCCTATCGATGGAAGTCGAACGCTCAATCTTTTGTACAACAGCACTGATATTTCTCCGTCCCTCACAGAAGTTTTTAAAAAAAGCACCAACTTATGAGCGCGTCTGTTTGTTTGTTTTTTTTTTTTTGCATCTATTTATTGGTCAAAAAATCGCCCAATAATGCTCATCAAGCTTAGCAGGATGAGCATTATTGGGCGATTTTTTTGACCAATAAACGTGAACCGCTTTTTTCGTGAAGCGTAATCGAAAGACAAAAAAATGCTGCACTTACATGGATGACTGTGCGTGTGTATTGCAAGCAGAAGATCCGAAATTGAATTGACTGGGAGCATCGATGTCGAGGGCTGCACATTTTCGAAGAAATTTGGAGGTATTAAAGGCTCATCTGGTGGATCGGAAGGTCTGGCAGCTGAGGAACTATCCAAACTGTCAGAATCGCTCGTTGGCGAAGGATCACTGGAACAACACTTCATTAGCTATTCTCACCCATCAAAATGCTTCATAGAAGTAAATGGGATAAAACAGAGCATTTCATTTATTTTTGCTTCTTTTTTAGCAACTACCGATTATTGGTGTACCGCCTTTGCCGAAAAACGGTAGCGTAACTTATCGTGGAATCCGTGCCAGAAGTCTTACTCCTTTGGCCCTTACGTTTCATTTTTATGGCAGCCACTTAAATTTTTAACGTTAAATTTGCATTTTTCAGGCCATTTTTCACTTTTAACGTGGACTGAAATTTGCAAAATACCTTTCAGCTGTGGATTTGGTAAAAATCTTGTGCTACAGAGCATAGCGGGCTATATTCCGCATGGGCACACATGGCGCACGAAAGCGATACTAACTCAATGAAGCAGTAAAGCTCTCATTCTTCCTGATTTCTCTGCTTTCCCTTTAACATTGAAGACCTCTTGTCTCGGAGAGATAATGTCTGCCCAGTACAATCATCAGCCGAAAAGAGGACAGGCACGTTCTCGTTTCTATGAATTATCAAATAAC